GCTGCTCGATGGATGGCTGCTGCGTGATGGCTGCTGCGTGATTCATCCCCTCTAAAAGATCCAGCAAAAAGACCTATTTAAAGGCCCATTACGGCTGGTCCAAAAATAGGGTTGAAAAATTAGGTTTAGGAAAAAGCCCATTAATGACTCTGGTGGGAGCAGGTGCTCCCTCTTTCGTACTAGGTGCTCCCTTTCTCCAGAATGTCCAAAAAGGGTCCAACTTCATTCTTTTCTAGCCAATTCCGATTGCAAGTTCCAGTCATTGCTTTCAGCCGCTTTTTGTACCTAGAATGACTCGATAGAGAGTGAAAGACTCGATAAAAGCCTACAAAACAAGGGTTAGAATGCGCCAAAAACGCATTATATCAGCGAAGATTCAAGACAAAGAAGAGATCCCACCAGACCAGCAGAGACTCATCTTCGCTGGTAAACAGCTCGAGGATGGTCGAACGCTTGCGGATTACAACATCCAGAAGGAATCAACCCTTCATTTGGTTCTCAGGTTGAGAGGAGGTATGCAGATTTTTGTTAAGACTCTTACCGGCAAGACGATTACCCTTGAGGTTGAAAGTTCAGACACCATTGACAATGTCAAGGCAAAGATCCAAGATAAGGAAGGAATCCCTCCAGATCAGCAAAGGCTAATCTTTGCCGGTAAGCAGCTCGAGGATGGCCGTACTCTTGCGGATTACAACATCCAAAAGGAGTCAACCCTTCATTTGGTGCTTCGTCTAAGAGGTGGTATGCAGATATTTGTCAAGACACTTACCGGTAAAACTATTACCCTAGAAGTTGAGAGCTCATACACCATTGACAATGTCAAGGCAAAGATTCAAGACAAGGAAAGAATCCCTCCGGACCAACAGAGACTCATCTTTGCCGGAAAACAACTTGAGGATGGTAGAACGCTTGCAGATTACAACATTCAGAAGGAATCAATTTTGCATTTGGTGCTTCGTCTGAGAGGTGGTATGCAGATATTCGTCAAGACACTTACCGGTAAAACCATCACTCTTGAAGTTGAGAGCTCAGACACTATCGACAATGTGAAGGCGAAGATTCAAGACAAAGAAGGGATCCCACCAGACCAACAGAGACTTATCTTCGCTGGAAAACAGCTCGAGGATGGTCGCACTCTTGCAGACTACAACATCCAAAAGGAATCGACTCTTCACCTCGTGCTGCGTCTCCGGGTGGAAGCATCTGAACAAGAAACTATGGTTCCAACATTGACCACCATTTGAGTCTTACTCTTTAGTGTTTTTGTTGGCTTTTACCAAATTTTTTTATTTTAAAGTAGTTCAGTAATAATAATTCAATTTCTTTATTTTATTTTTTTGATAAAAGCACTTTACAATACAAATTTGTGAATTATTCTTTACACCAATTTTTAATTGTAATAACCCAACCACTAATTTTTTTTGCAAATATTTCAAACTTAGGAGATCAAAGGCTAAAAAAATCCAATTAAATGAGCTTCGGCTAAGTTATTTTTAGTCGGTTTGTTTTGGTTCGAATCATCAATTTCGATTTTCTTATGCCCAAGTAGTTGGACATCTTTTTATCCGGTTTATTTGGATTGAGAGAAATTACG